CAAATATTGTTACAACTGTCGTGAGGGAATTTTAAATGGACATTTAAATGCTTATAAGTACCCCAAGGAGGAATATATTCAAAGAATCTTGAAACCCTACAGGTTAGTTCGAATTTTGATAGGAGTGCACATTTGTATTTGTGGATTATATCAAACCAAATCTCTTGTAGCAGAGAAAGAATACTTTTGTCAAAATCTTAACTTAAGAAAGCCTGAATTGATACAGTAAGATCATGAAAATTTAAAAGTATTGTTTAAGAATGCATTTTGCTTGTAACATGATGTTTTATTGCTTTTGACAAATTTAAGTGGAGACTATTCCATCAACAAACAAATGTAGTCTTGCCTAAAACATGGTTTACTAAATATGATGGAATATTGTTTCTGTTAAAATTGGTCACTTTACAGATTAAACAGAGGAATTGTAGATTGTGTCGCTGTGTAAAATATTATTCATGTACATTACGATGAAATTAGATATTAGTTTACTCATTTTGTCTTGGGTTTGATTTCTTAAGAACTCAAGGAAGAAATGCTATAATTGGCCACATTAATGAATGTGCAAAACTCACTTTCTAACTCAGTTATAAAGTGTAAAATACCGCAGAGAAATGATGCCAGTAATTCAATTTGCAGGTTGTTTGTTTTACCAACAGCGGATCCGAGGCGAATGACCTTGCCCTTCATATGGCTCGGTTGTACACTGGTGTGTACGATACTATATCTCTAAGGTATGTACAGTGTACAGGTGTTATTATGAGGCCTGACAAATTGTGTTGCTACACAGTGGAAAGAATAGGTTTTTCATTGATTGCCTCGTGGAAGTGAGCTGAATAACTAACCACAATCATTGAAAGGAACCCATGCGTTACTCATCCCCAGTCACTGGTTTTCTTTCTGCCCTTGTAGCCTCACAGCCTAATAGCTTGTTGTATAAGCCAACTGGCTGTATGTCATTGTGACCCAAGGGCATGGGAGGGTGCTCATGCTATCAGTGACTGGTTTGCATTCTTCCCTTGTAGCCTCACAGCCTAATAGCTTGTTGTATAAGCCAACTGGCTGTATGTCATTGTGACCCAAGGGCATGGGAGGGTGCTCATGCTATCAGTGACTGGTTTGCATTCTTCCCTTGTAGCCTCACAGCCTAATAGCTTGGTGTATAAACCAAATGGCTGTATGTCATTGTGACCCAACGGCATGGGAGGGTCATGCTATCAGTGGCTGGTTTGCATTCTTCCCTTGTAGCCTCACAGCCTAATATACTACTCACCCTTTGCTAAGGTTCACAAAATTCACAATCTTACTTAAACGCAGATTCATAATTTGAAATTGCATCCATTTAAAAGTGGATAAATTATAATATGGTAACCCCTCTTTAGGCAAACAGTCACTTTAATCTAACCTTATGCACCTGATACATGAGGAACCATAAAAATGGTTTTCCTGGCACCAGTCATCCAATTTTGCAAATCATGGAACGAGTCACTGACAAGTACACAACACCTGTTAATAGCAGGTATGGGATCCACAAGATAAAATGACTAACTGAAACCTGATCCATACTTACAATAAGCTTAGATATTTAAACCAAATTTGTCCCCACATCATAGTTTTCTGTTGAATCCATGATTTGATCCTTAGCAAAGTGTGAATAGTATAGCTTGTTGTATAAGCCAACTGGCTGGTAGTTTGCATGGCTCAGACTTTCTTCTCTGCCCGATATGCTAATAACTGTATCAACTTTTGAAAAAGATTTCACCATCCCCTCAAATATTTTATTCATTCAACAGGTGGAACATCAGTCCCAAACATATTTAGTTTTCTTTCAGTTAAAACATGAACTATGATTGTCTTGAATCCTTCCAGGAACGCCTACCATGGAATGAGTCCCTACCTGATGGGTCTGACAGCTATCTCCACCTGGCGTTACAACACACCCACAGGATTCGGGATCCATCAGGTTAGTAGTGTGAATAGCGAGAACACTTATTGCATTAACTTTTACATTAAATCAAATGCTATGTTAAATTATACATCAAGTCTTATACAATAAGATGTTTAGACAAAATCCCAGTTTGGGCAAGAATTGTTTTTTGTCCAGTTGACCAGCTAGCATGGCGAAGGGTATGTAGTTTGAATCCTAGTCACAACCCTTGCTTCCCACCTAATACAGCAGTTGACCAGCTAGCATGGCTGAAGGGTATGTAGTTTGAATCCTAGTCACAACCCTTGCTGTCCACCTAATACAGCAGTTGACCAGCTAGCATGGCGAAGGGGATGTAGTTTGAATCCTAGTCACAACCCTTGCTTCCCACCTAATACAGCAGTTGACCAGCTAGCATGGCGAAGGGGATGTAGTTTGAATCCTAGTCACAACCCTTGCTTCTCACCTAATACAGCAGTTGACCAGCTAGCATGGCGAAGGGGATGTAGTTTGAATCCTAGTCACAACCCTTGCTTCCCACCTAATACAGCAGTTGACCAGCTAGCATGGTGAAGGGGATGTAGTTTGAATCCTAGTCACAACCCTTGCTTCCCACCTAATACAGCAGTTGACCAGCTAGCATGGCGAAGGGGATGTAGTTTGAATCCTAGTCACAACCCTTGCTTCTCACCTAATACAGCAGTTGACCAGCTAGCATGGCGAAGGGGATGTAGTTTGAATCCTAGTCACAACCCTTGCTTCTCACCTAATACAGCAGTTGACCAGCTAGCATGGCGAAGGGGATGGGATGTAGTTTGAATCCTAGTCACAACCCTTGCTTCCCACCTAATACAGCAGTTGACCAGCTAGCATGGCGAAGGGGATGTAGTTTGAATCTAGTCATCCTAGTCACACCCTTGCTTCCCACCTAATACAGCAGTTGACCAGCTAGCATGGCGAATGGTATGTAGTTTGAATCCTAGTCACAACCCTTGCTTCCCACCTACCTATACAGCAGTTGACCAGCTAGCATGGCGAAGGGGGGATGTAGTTTGAATCCTAGTAGCACAACCCTTGCTTCCCACCTAATACAGCAGTTGACCAGCTAGCATGGCGAAGGGGATGTAGTTTGAATCCTAGTCACAACCCTTGCTTCCCACCTAATACAGCAGTTGACCAGCTAGCCAGTTTGAATCCTAGTAGCATACAGCAGTTGACCAGCTAGCATGGGGATGTAGTTTGAATCCTAGTCACAACCCTTGCTTCCCACCTAATACAGCAGTTGACCAGCTAGCATGGCGAAGGGCATGTAGTTTGAATCCTAGTCACAACCCTTGCTTCCCACCTAATACAGCAGTTGACCAGCTAGCATGGCGAAGGGGATGTAGTTTGAATCCTAGTCACAACCCTTGCTTCCCACCCTAATACAGCAGTTGACCAGCTAGCATGGCGAAGGGGATGTAGTTTGAATCCTAGTCACAACCCTTGCTTCCCACCTAATACAGCAGTTGACCAGCTAGCATGGCGAAGGGCATGTAGTTTGAATCCTAGTCACAACCCCCTTGCTTCCCACCTAATACAGCAGTTGACCAGCTAGCAAGGGGATGTAGTTTGAATCCTAGTCACAACCCTTGCTTCCCACCTAATACAGCAGTTGACCAGCTAGCATGGCTAAGGGGATGTAGTTTGAATCCTAGGCTTCCCACCTAATACAGCAGTTTGGCGAAGGGAACCTAATACAGCAGTTGACCAGCTAGCATCCTAGTCACAACCCTTGCTTCCCACCTAATACAGCAGTTGACCAGCTAGCATGGCGAAGGGGATGTAGTTTGAATCCTAGTCACAACCCTTGCTTCCCACCTAATACAGCAGTTGACCAGCTAGCATGGCGAAGGGGATGTAGTTTGAATCCTAGTCACAACCCTTGCTTCCCACCTAATACAGCAGTTGACCAGCTAGCATGGCGAAGGGGATGTAGTTTGAATCCTAGTCACAACCCTTGCTTCCCACCTAATACAGCAGTTGACCAGCTAGCATGGCGAAGGGGATGTAGTTTGAATCCTAGTCACAACCCTTGCTTCCCACCTCATACAGCAGTTGACACTGTTCCAGGCGATGAACCCAGATCCATTCCGTGGCCCCTGGGGCGGAGCCAGGTGCCGAGACTCTCCATCTCAGGTAGGTTGACATTTACAATAAATTAAAGCATTACACTAATTCTGTTGCATTTGACTGGTTAATCAAACAATATATTTTACATTTTTGTAGCCCACATTCACTGATAGATTGATGTTTTTGGATAGGTTGGTAGGGGAGTAAGCTGGGTTGGTGCAACTGTTTTTGTGTTGATTCGTGACATTCATAAGGGACTGTTGTCTACTGTATTCCTTTTGTTAATGATTAGCTCAGCAATATGTGATGTTATTAGTCCAGACATGTAAATAATTAATTGCTCTTATATATCGGACAGTGTGAGGAGTATGTGTGCTTATCTTTGAATAATATTCCCAAAATATTTGAGTGAGCTGCAGAACCTTGTTTTGATCACATTCATGTATAGGAGCACAACTGGTACCATTCACACATTTATTAAATTTTGTGTGTGAGTTTCGAAGACAAGTTACATTGGTTGAAATGATGGTGGGGTTCGTTTTCGGAGGGTAGCTTCAACACTGATTCTCATTTTCTTTGAGTGACATTTAGACGTTGGTGTGATAAACAAGGTGAATAGTGCTAAGGATATACAACTTCTTTATTACAATATATGCCACATTTCAGTGTTCGCATCTACACCAAAACATCATGTATATTGTAACATAGAAGTTGTATATCCATAAAACTATAGCACTAATTCTCATATCTTTATGAACCTTTTGTATAGACAACTGACAAGTGCAGAACAACCGCCTTTTGCAGTTCTAATTTTGTTTTGATTTTTAGATTTTTTGCTTCTAAGGCCATGAGTTGTACTGGGTTTCAAATATAGTTTTATTTTGCAGAACATTACACATAAACCATTCAATATTTCTTGTTGATACTTTTGAAGCACCTTGGAAATCATGTATGAGGCAATCATGTTGAATCAGAATATTGGTCCCCAGCTACCAGTGCTTGCTATGAGAGTTGACTAGATGGCTTGGGGTGGGTGAGGTTCACTGTGTAATACAGTCAACTCTCGTTAATCCGACACTTGTGGTTGCAGAGAAATATGTCGGATTAACGAAAATGTCGGATTAATGAAAATGTCGGATTAATGTATTTGTGTGAAAATATCAATGTTTACTAAATGTCACGATCGTCATACTGTTGCATGCATATCAGAAATGGTAGATCTAGTTATCTTCATCGTATGTAAAAATATTCACAGAAATAAAAAATACTAACAATACATACTTGTTTTCATTTATTAACATTCATAGATGGCATAACATACATATATAATCACATAAGCGAACAGTTTCATATCTATTTCATGACCACATTGGCACAAAACTCACGTTTGTTTTTACCGCATATCAGCTGCCATTATGACCCGGATGTTGAATATGTTACAGTTTCCATACAACTAATTCCATAATAACATGTTGGCGTCTAATGTACAATCAGTGTATCATAACATATATAATTTATAACTTGAAAAAGTCTTTGATGGTCATTAACATCAAACACGTCTAAGTGGTGTGTCAGAAATGTTTGCAAAGTGTTCAACGATGTTTTGGCCTCAGATAGCTTGAAGCATTGGAATCAGTCGTAGAGACGCTCAACCACTAAGCAGACTGCTTCAGGATGTCAGATACGGTTGATCGTCCAATCTTCACATCAAACTTCTGCTCAGCAAAAGTGATGACTTCTTGTTGTGCTGTCTGGGGTTTGTCTTTCTTCAAAAGGAGATTTCTTTCTTGATCAATGGCGTGACTTCTACAAGGGGTCGCTTTAGCAGCTGGTGTACTCGTGACAGACATCTTGTGATGAAAACTCATGTCGGGTTGTAAACATTTTATACAGCTCGCCTCTACCGCTATTTCTTGATTAAATCGCCTCAATTAATTATCCTGTGTTCCTAATTAACAAGTGTGATGTTCACTGACGTTGATGTTAAGCAGCCAGTAAGGCACGCGCTAATCACCTTTCATGTGTGATGTTTGCATACGGTCGGATCATCCGACCGGCTGTGTTGATTGTCGGATTAACGAATGTTTTTACAATGTATTTACAATGATCGGTTGCTAGATTGGTGTGTCGGGGTCGAAATGCGAGAATGTCGGATTAACGAGAGTAATTATCACTGTTTTAAATGGTTCCCTAATTTTTTGTCGGATTAACGTGATTGTCGGATTAATGAGTGTCGGATTAACGAGAGCTGACTGTACTGAACCCAAACAAAGTGGGACTCCTCATTGTGCAGTGTCTGTACAGGGCTGTCTATCTGTGACTTTGTCTCCTTGACATTTCCATTCGCACTTTTCATTGGTTCCAGCTGGCCATGTGTTGTTGTTGTTGAGTCAGCAAAAATTGTAAGTCATCAGAATTTGTGGCTTGATACATTATCATATCAAGTTTTTTGTAATCAATCACGTTGGTCATGCGAGTAGTTATATGTTCCATTACAGAGCAGCCAAGCCTGCACTGATGTACACAGTGAAAAAACAACAACATTGTTTCTGTGCTAGGGTAGCACACTGTAGCAATATTATTCATAGCTTGGTAACAGCAGGTTGGGATCTTGTATCACATATCTGAATATATTACCATGGTATTTAATAAGAATTATTATCAGGATGCTGGCTATACATGAGGTCTGATATGATTTAACTAGCTGATATATGTGGTCATATTTTATGATAGATTCTAATGCATGAGATGAGTAATGTGTGATATATATTTTACTGGTATTGTCAGGTAGACCTCTCGCAATTGTGATCTCACTGTACTGTTTCTGTGTAGATCGGGTCTAAGGGATTTAGCACATAACCAAAGCTTGGTCCAATGGGCTGATTGTTGAAGGGGCATAGCTAAAAACATAGCTGAAACATATCTAAAATAGCTACGACAGTAACTAAAGGGGATGTTCCATCAAAACCAGATGGCTGTGAATGTCCATGAATTCTCTTCTTTGACTAAGGTCCTGTTGTGTCATCCATCCATCCATGCATCCACCTCCCACCCACCCATCCATCCATCTGTTAAGCCACACATCCATCCATCTATCCATCTGTTCAGCCACACATCCATCCATCCATCCATTTGAAGCATCACTATTGACCCTGGTGTTTATCACTGTGTATGTCACGGTTATATTTGTAGACAATCCGGTCATGTAACTGCGCAGAGGGTGAGTGTGAGGCCTCTGACCTGTACGTGGAACAGCTGGAAGATACCATCCGATTCTCCATGCCCAAGGACAAAGTGGGGGCCTTCTTTGCCGAGTCTGTGCAGGTACATTCAGGCAACAATAATTGTTGACACAACCAACTAAAGAAAAGCAAAAGTTGGAAAGAAATAAAAAAAATGTACTTCTCCACCTAATGAAATGATTTATGTCACAACGTACTAGTACAATAGTAATGAAACAGAAGTTTCAAACCGAGTATTGAACATGTTTAAGCTGAAGGCAATCTGTTCCACTTAGTTTTAACATGGTAAAATGTCGGACTTTGTTCATGTGTGATTTCATCTGTAAGGCTTCTTGTTGGACGTTGATTTGTCGCTGTTTATGCGTTCTCACTGGGAATCACTGTATTTCCATAAAACTGTGCCTATGAATAGTTCAGTGCTAAACCATGACATTTTCTGCACAGTAATCTCCCTTGATGTGCCAGTATCCGATGATCCCATGTTTTGTTTGTTGACTTATCCATCAGTTGTACCAAGGTGGTGAAGTTCCACATGCTACATCATTCAAACCTTCATCCCATAACCCTCACCTGTGTCATAGCACTGAAATAATGGTGGCATTGACCCCCGTTTTCTGTTTTGTTAGAATTCATACACATATGTGCTTATGACTTCCCCAAAAGGAGGGGCGGTGGGGTAGCCTAATGGTTAAAGCGTTGGCTCGTCGTTCGAATCCCCACATGGGTACAATGTGTGAAGCCCATTTCTGGTGTCCCCCGCCGTGATGTTGCTGGAATATTGCTAAAAGCGGCGTAAAACCAAACTCAGTCAGTCAGTCCCCAAAAGGTGACTTAAGTATCATTCAAGTTAATTTCCAGGGAAGGTGCAGTCAAAACATTTTGTATAATAAACTTTCAGGGAGTTGGTGGTGCTGTACAGTTTCCCAAGAACTACCTAAAACGAGCGTTTGAGCTGGTTCGCTCTAAAGGGGGACTGTGTGTATCTGATGAGGTAGGCTTGTTCATGTAGATCCTGCATCACAATATGTCATGATGAATTGGCAGTCACTCCATCATGTTATCTATAGAATGTAAATGCCAGCAGTAAATGTTTAAAGGTACCGGTGTCCTTCTTTCAACAGAGCATACAGAGCATTATTTCCAAGTAGCATGACAAGTCTTGTTCCTGATTATGAAGTAGATGTAGGGAGAATTAACCCTAACATTTTCAGTAACTGACAGTGAAATTATTCATCAAAATATTTGGAATTCATTATTGTAATATACAGTCGAGCACAGTTGTCTTGAAACTCATGGGACCCAGAAAAAATATCGAGTTATATGAATGCTTGATTGGCATTTTAGAAGATGATATTTGATGAACATAGAGATTTTTTCTGGGTTACATCTTTTTATTCTCGAGTACAACATTTCAGGGCTTGTTCTGGCCCATCATCAGGCAAAACTGAACAGTAAGAGTTATATGAACTTCGAGACATCTGACCAGGGCATGTCATTACATGTCACTATGAAAGAAAACAAAACGCTTCTCAGTATGTTTTGATTCGAAACTATAATCCGTTATCAGTAGTGTTTAGTCGTAACAGTGAGTACTTCCTAATTAAATCCTTCTTAATTAATCCTAATTAAATAACGAACAAGTGAGACATTCAACTCTCAATTAGCCCTAATTAGTTTACACTACCGCATCCCTTTGATTCATGCTGCACCGTGTGTAAACGTGTGTAAACATCCTCAGTTCAGAGGGACACTTGCCCATGAAAGGTAGATGAATATCGAGTTTCTCTGCAAATATCGAGTTAAAAGGGTAACTTTGCTTGTTGGGACCATGAAATTATATCGAGATATCCGAAATATCGAGACATCCCTATCAAGTTAAAAGAGCTTGAATAATGATAAATTATGAAGGATTTTGTCGGGACCTAGATGTTATATCGAGACATCCGAGATATCGAGTTACCAGAGTTCAACACAATGGTGCTCGACTGTAAATTGGACAGATATTTGTACTAAAATATTTTGAGGCTTGGTAAATTGCCTAAGCAAATCATTTACCTCATTTAATGTAAGACATCAGTGACTAGTTTGTTAGTTTCTGATAGATAACCAATGTCAAATTATCTCGCTACCATGCTGGGAGTGCAGGTCTTGCTGCATGTCTCTCTGATGCTAATGTAGTTGTGATGACCATGAGAAGTTTTTTTCTTTAAAATATATGTCACAGGAAATGTGATCTGTCTGTTTAGGTGCAGACAGGATTTGGTCGAATGGGCAGCCATTACTGGGGCTTTGAGACGCATGATGTCATCCCAGACATCGGTAATACTTGTTTACCTCCATGTTTACCTCTCTTGGCTTGTAGGGGTGAATAGTACACAGTCCCCTTTAATTACATAAATTGCATAGATTTGGGAACAGTTTTAACTTACCTTTGTGGCAAGTTTGCAATATTTTCCAAAATGTATTCTCGAACTTCTAAAGGAGTGGAACCCAATTTTTTAACCTTCTGCTTGTTATTCTTAATGCCTGTCAACCAACTCAAGACAGGTCTCCTGTAATGTAGTGAGAACATTGTTTTCTGTGTGCGGATGGTTCAGCATTCCCCCTGTTCCAGTTACCATAGCTAAAGGGATGGGGAACGGTTTCCCCATGGCGGCTGTCATCACGACTCCCGAGGTCGCTGACGTGTTGGGGAAGGCGCTTCACTTCAACACATTCGGCGGCAACCCAGTAGCATGTGCAGTCGGGTCAGAAGTTCTGGATGTAAGCATGGAGTGGAACCTCCTTAGTCCAAAACCCTGTCTATCTACAGACTGCATTTAGAATATACCTCTCCATTGTGACTCTGACAACACTCTGCTGATTTGTTAATCCATAATTTGTGACATAAACACATACAGTCCCATTGGGACGAGTATCGTCCAGATAAATGGGGTTTTCTTTTAGGGTGTTTCTGCTTGATATGCCAGCAGTATTAATAGTACAGTTCCTTTAGGTTATCATAGTGTTTGATTAGCATCAGTTGTGATAAATTCCCTTCAAGTGTAAGGTGGTATGTCTGCATCTGACAAGCCATGATCCTGGTTTTGTTTTGACACAAAGGTGATAGATGACGAGAAGAGACAGGAGCACTGCGCCGTGGTGGGGACTCGACTCATACACAAGCTGCGGGTTCTACAGGAGGAGTTCGACTTTGTGGGTGATGTGCGAGGCAAAGGACTGATGATTGGTGTGGAGATGGTCACTGACAAGGTGAGTGCTACTAATGGAGTTCCACATTGTGGGTGACGTGCGAGGCAAAGGACTGATGGTTGGTGTGGAGATGGTCACTGACAAGGTGAGTGCTACAGGATGAGTTTGACTTTGTTGGTGATGTGCGAGGCAAAGGACTGATGGTTGGTGTGGAGATGGTCACTGACAAGGTGAGTGCTACAGGAGGAGTTCCACTTTGTTGGTGATGTGCGAGGCAAAGGACTGATGGTTGGTGTGGAGATGGTCACTGACAAGGTGAGTGCTACTGATGGAGTTCGACTTTGTGGGTGATGTGCGAGGCAAAGGACTGATGGTTGGTGTGGAGATGGTCACTGACAAAGTGATGTGAGTGCTACAGGAGGAGTTCCACTTTGTGGGTGATGTGTGGAGGCAAAGGACTGATGGTTGGTGTGGAGATGGTCACTGACAAGGTGAGTGCTACTGATGGAGTGTGGGTGATGTCTTGAGGCAAAGGACTGATGGTTTTGTGGGGTGATGCGAGGCAAAGGACTGATGGTTGGTGTGGAGATGGTCACTGACAAGGTGAGTGCTACTGATGGAGTTCGACTTTGTGGGTGATGTGCGAGGCAAAGGACTGATGGTTGGTGTGGAGATGGTCACTGACAAGGTGAGTGCTACTGATGGAGTTCGACTTTGTGGGTGATGTGCGAGGCAAAGGACTGATGGTTGGTGTGGAGATGGTCACTGACAAGGTGAGTGCTACTGGAGGAGTTTGACTTTGTGGGTGATGTGCGAGGCAAAGGACTGATGGTTGGTGTGGAGATGGTCACTGACAAGGTGAGTGCTACTGATGGAGTTCGACTTTGTGGGTGATGTGCGAGGCTAAGGACTGATGGTTGGTGTGGAGATGGTCACTGACAAGGTGAGTGCTACAGGATGAGTTTGACTTTGTGGGTGATGTGCGAGGCAAAGGACTGATGGTTGGTGTGGAGATGGTCACTGACAAGGTGAGTGCTACTGATGGAGTTCGACTTTGTGGGTGATGATGCGAGGCAAAAAGGACTGATGGTTGGTGTGGAGATGGTCACTGACAAGGTGAGTGCTACTGATGGAGTTCGACTTTGTGGGTGATGTGCGAGGCAAAGGACTGATGGTTGGTGTGGAGATGGTCACTGACAAGGTGAGTGCTACTGAGGAGTTCGACTTTGTGGGTGATGTGCGAGGCTAAGGACTGATGGTTGGTGTGGGGATGGTCACTGGACAAGGTGAGTGCTACTGATGGAGTTCACGACTGCTTGTGGGTGATGTGTGGGTGATGACTCCTGTGCGAGGCTAAGGACTGATGGTTGGTGTGGAGATGGTCACTGACAAGGTGAGTGCTACAGGATGAGTTTGACTTTGTGGGTGATGTGCGAGGCAAAGGACTGATGGTTGGTGTGGAGATGGTCACTGACAAGGTGAGTGCTACTGATGGAGTTCGAGGTGATGAGGCAAAGGACTGATGGTTGGTGTGGAGATGGTCACTGACAAGGTGAGTGCTACTGATGGAGTTCGACTTTGTGGGTGATGTGCGAGGCAAAGGACTGATGGTTGGTGTGGAGATGGTCACTGACAAGGTGAGTGCTACTGATGGAGTTCGACTTTGTGGGTGATGTGCGAGGCAAAGGACTGATGGTTGGTGTGGAGATGGTCACTGACAAGGTGAGTGCTACTGATGGAGATGGGTGATGTGCGAGGCTGACTTTGTGGGTGACAATGTGCTACAGGATGAGGACAAAGGACTGATGGTTGGTGTGGAGATGGTCACTGACAAGGTGAGTGCTACTGATGGAGTTCGACTTTGTGGGTGATGTGCGAGGCAAAGGACTGATGGTTGGTGTGGAGATGGTCACTGACAAGGTGAGTGCTACAGGATGAGTTCGACTTTGTGGGTGATGTGCGAGGCAAAGGACTGATGGTTGGTGTGGAGATGGTCACTGACAAGGGTGCTACTGAGGAGGTGACTTTGTTACTGTCGACTTGAGGTGAAGGACTGATGGTTGTAGATGGTCACACTGACAAGGTGAGTGCTAATGATGGAGTTCCGAGCTTTGTGTGATGCGAGGCAGGACTGATGATTGGTGTGGAGATGGTCACTGACAAGGTGAGTGCTACCAGATGGAGTTCGACTTTGGGTGATGCGCGAGTAAAAGGACTGATGGTTGGTGTGGAGATGGTCACTGACAAGGTGAGTGCTACTGGAGTGAGTGAGTGAGTTTAGTTTTACACCACTTGTAGCAATATTCCAGCTGTATCAAGCTTTATCAAGCACCAGAAATTAGCTTTATACACTGTACCCATGTGGGGAATTGAACCTGGATCTTAGGCATGATGAGTGGACGCTTTAACAACTTGGCTACCCCACCACCCCCAGTAAATGAATGACTTTGTTGGTGATGTGCGTGGTAAAGGTTTAATGATTTGTATGGAGATGGTGACAGACAAAGTGAGTTCTACAGGAAGAGTTTGACTTTGTTGATGATCTGTTACACATAGGACTGATGATAGGTATGGAGATGCTGGAGTGAGTGACGTTGAGGAACCCAAATGACTTGGCCACCCATGCTGAGTCCTTGGGCTACAAGAGTCTGCGAATATTGCACAGCGCTGCTCTCTGCCATATTGCAGCAGGATCACTGTAGCCAGTGAAAACCAGAGACTGAACGTGTTCCAAGCAGCCTGTCAATTTGGCTGTCAGCCTCTCTGTCATAGTGTGTATCTCGGGTTTTAGGAAGGTGCTTCTGTTGTTCCACAGCTGCCCTATACTGTCCGTCTGGAGTGAGTGAGTGAATGAGAGTGTATTGCACCACAGTAACAGCAGCTTCCCAGATAGCATTTAGATGTTGGCCCAATGGTTTTGTGTAGACCCAGCGTACAAATGCTATCTGGGTTGTGTAAATTCAAGTCAGGACAAGCTAACAGATGACTGAAAAACTGGCAACACTCGTACTGGTCCATAATGATTCCAGCCTCATCCAAGTTCAGTCAACTATCGAGACAAGCCTGAGACTGGCGCCCTTCCTGGTCTGGAATCCCGAGAGGGGTTTTAATTCTGGACAAGGCTAAACCCTGCTCTGTAATGTTAGTAGAAGTGATGTACTGCTTTAGACTTCCAATCTGACACTGTACAGCCTCCAAATCCTGTAGCAGTGCATACAATGAATGCTCCTATACCGATACATATCCATGCTATCACATTGTAAACGTTCAGGTCATGTTTCATATACCAAATTCTTAATTGTTGGAATGTAACATGAAATTCATGGCAGTGTTTCCTGTTATTTCCAGTAATCATTACAATGTATTCATTTGATGTCATGTTGCTATGGCAACTCCTCACAATCAATGAAATCAGGGAAACTATCTGAACAAAATGGCAGTTACCATAAAATAACTGGATAATTCTATGGAAGACTGTATGTTTTATATGACATCATGTTGTTCTGCAGAAATCGAGGAAGCCGATGTCGGGAGATGATGTAGGAGACATCTGGGAGGACACCAAGGACATGGGCATCCTGTTGGGCAGGGGAGGACTATACGGAATGTAAGATCCTCCGCCCTTCACTGGCAGTCTTATGATCCTTCATCCTTCGCTGACAGTCTTAAGATCCTCCGTCCTTCACTGGCAGTCTTTATGATCATTCATCTTTCGGGCTGACAGTCGTAAGATCCTTCATCCTTCACTGAGAGTCCTAAGATCCTTCATCCTTCACTGACAGTCCTAAGATCCTTCATCCTTCACTGCTGACAGTCCTAAGATCCTTCATCAGCTGTCACTGACAGTCCTAAGATCATTCCTCCTTCACTGACAGTCCTAAGATCATTCTTCATCCTGTCATTGACAGTCCTAAGATCATTCATCCTTCACTGACAGTCCTAAGATCCTTCGTCCTTCACTGACAGTCCTAAGATCCTTCATCCTTCACTGACAGTCCTAAGATATTTCATCCTTTCACTGACAGTCCTGACAGACAGTCCTCACTGACAGTCCTAAGATCATTCATCCTTTCGTTGACAGTCCTAAGATCATTCATCCTTCGCTGACAGTCCTAAGATCCTTCATCCTTCACTGACAGTCCTAAGATCCTTCATCCTTCACTGACAGTCCTAAGATCATTCGTCTGTCATTGACAGTCCTAAGATCATTCATCCTTCACTGACAGTCCTAAGATCCTTTCGGTCCTTCACTGACAGTCCTAAGATCATTCATCCCTCAATGACAGTCCTAAGATCCTTCATCCTTCACTGACAGTCCTAAGATCATTCATCCGTCACTGACAGTCCTAAGATCCTTCATCCTTCACTGACAGTCCTAAGATCTTTCATTCTTCACTGACAGTCCTAAGATCACTCATTCTTCACTGACAGTCCTAAGATCACTCATCCTTCGTTGACTGTCCTAAGATCATTCATCCTTCGCTGACAGTCCTAAGATCCTTCATCCTTCACTGACAGTCCTAAGATCCTTCATCCTTTCACTGACAGTCCTAAGATCATCATTCATCTGTCATTGACAGTCCTAAGATCATTCATCCTTCACTGACAGTCCTAAGATCCTTCGTCCTTCACTGACAGTCCTAAGATCATTCATCCCTCACTGACAGTCCTAAGATCATCCTTCACTGACAGTCCTAAGATCATTCTGACAGTCCTAAGATCCTTCATCCTTCACTGACAGTCCTAAGATCACTCATTCTTCACTGATCTGTGTTTCAGAGCTTCCGGATCAAACCACCAATGTGCATCACGGACGAAGATATTGATTATGCTGTTGCCATCATGAGAAGAGCTTTCGAGAATTATGCTGTCCGCAGAAAGTAGTCGTCAAATTTGAGAGAATAATCCAGTATTTGACCCTAGTCTCCATTAAAATGGTCCTCATGCACCCAGAAAGCAAGGCTTTGTCTATAAACTCTGTGGATCTCTGTATTGTAGGAACAGTCCCCGTGAAAACTGAAGAATCTTAATAGTGCATTTTACAATAAATTGAGATCACTACCTCAAGTCTTTATGCTATGTTCATGGTCAACAATGAAAGTTAATCCCAGATATAACAAGTGTTACAGGAATTATGAACTTTTTTATTCACTTCCGCAAGTATACTAAGTACTATAGCGTGACTTTTTCCTATTTTATTGTCTGAGGGACAGTAAATATGTACTTAGAATCTCCTCTGGTATGGATTGTGTTCACCATGTTTAATGTCCAACACAAACTGTTCACGCGTCAGGAGTCATATTGTCAGTCTAATCACCGGCTGAAATTCACTGACCAATAACCAGACTGTCAAACCTGTGGAATCTATTTAACCAGGTTGCAGCAATGAATGTAAGTGAAGCATATGTTCTTTTGACTATGATGTCAATGCATTGTTACCTAGATTTTAATACATACCATTAATGATATGGTTATGTGAATTAAAGTTAGTGCACCTTGCTCAACAGAATACACAGTGACCACATTTTCATTTGTATAGTGAGATTTAGTCAATTAGAATTTTGAAATACCTGTGAAAATTGTTCAAGCCAGATCACAGATGCCCGTGAGTCAGTAGTTGGTGTGCGCAGTATGTAAACACTTTGGATAGATTACTCAGGAACTGCACTTGGTATCATGGTATTTGTAATCTGTCAACTAGCCCAGAGCTGTTCTGCTTTCCGAATAATGATTTAATGAATATGTAAGTCTGCGTTTTTTGCTTTTTGGATTTAAGTATTCAAGCAACTGAAACTAGATTACACATGATGAAATAACTTGTGATATTTTGATTCAGGATTACCAGAACCATTTTCTAATTAGAAAATTTGTGGAATTTTCATTCAAACAATTCAAAATATGATTACACTTCCTTTTCCTATTTATAAGAATAATTCTTTAGTCATACTAATTCTACAAAGACTTTCTCATTTTTTATACATTCTAATGGGCTTTAGAATTTTGTTGATAATTTAATGTCATGTTTATTTCCTAATGTCTCACTGCCTAACGCCGTCCATATGCATTTCTCAGCTAGTAGATTTAGGTGTGTAATCTCGATCTGATATCCTCAATGTGTTCACTTTGAGATAAGGTGATTATGTTGTTATGTTTATGTGATGTTTCAATAATGAATTTTACCGGTAATCATTTTCCTTTGTTTAATATAACAGTATATACAGGCACTGTTGAATGTTGTGATGCTTTGTAAACATCTCATTATTCCATGCTGACATCCACGCAGTATATATTGTTATCAATTTCATGTGTTCAAGGTTTAATACGATAGTATGGAATAACGAACTTGCTTGTTTCCCGGTGTACTTTAATGTTTCCCTTGTGTCTGCATGGATGTGAGGTCCATTATGGGTTAGATGTATGGATGAATCACATACTGTAAGAAATACACACTTTAGGTGTATGGATGAATCAAGTGTTATATGAATTAGAGAGGTACAGATGTATGGATGATTCACTTACTGTAAGGAATAGACAGGTAAAGGTGTACAGATGAATCACTTACTGTAAGGAATAGACAGGTAAAGGTGTACAGATGAATCACTTACCGTAAGGAATAGACAGGTAAAGGTGTACAGATGAATCACTTCTGTGAGGAATAGACAAGTAAAGGTGTACAGATGAATCACTTACCGTAAGGAATAGACAGGTAAAGGTGTACAGATGAATCACTTACTGTAAGGAATAGACAGGTAAAGGTGTACAGATGAATCACTTACCGTAAGGAATAGACAGGTAAAGGTGTACAGATGAATCACTTACTGTAAGGAATAGACAAGTAAAGGTGTACAGATGATTCAATTACCGTAAGGAATAGACAGGTAAAGGTGTACAGATGAATCACTTACTGTAAGGAATAGACAGGTAAAGGTGTACAGATGAATCACTTACCGTAAGGAATAGACAGGTAAAGGTGTACAGATGATTCAATTACCGTAAGGAATAGACAGGTAAAGGTGTACAGATGAATCACTTACTGTAAGGAATAGACAGGTAAAGGTGTACAGATGAATCACTTCTGTAAGGAATAGACAGGTAAAGGTGTACAGATGAATCACTTGTATGAGGAATAGACAGGTAAAGGTGTACAGATGAATCACTTACTGTAAGGAATAGACAGGTAAAGGTGTACAGATGAATCACTTACTGTAAGGAATAGACAGGTAAAGGTGTACAGATGAATCACTTACCGTAAGGAATAGACAGGTAAAGGTGTACAGATGAATCACTTACTGTAAGGAATAGACAGGTAAAGGTGTACAGATGAATCACTTACCGTAAGGAATAGACAGGTAAAGGTGTACAGATGAATCACTTCTGTAAGGAATAGACAGGTAAAGGTGTACAGATGAATCACTTACCGTAAGGAATAGACAGGTAAAGGTGTACAGATGAATCACTTCTGTAAGGAATAGACAAGTAAAGGTGTACAGATGATTCAATTACCGTAAGGAATAGACAGGTAAAGGTGTACAGATGAATCACTTACTGTAAGGAATAGACAGGTAAAGGTGTACAGATGAATCACTTACCGTAAGGAATAGACAGGTAAAGGTGTACAGATGATTCAATTACCGTAAGGAATAGACAGGTAAAGGTGTACAGATGAATCACTTACTGTAAGGAATAGACAGGTAAAGGTGTACAGATGAATCACTTACCGTAAGGAATAGACAGGTAAAGGTGTACAGATGAATCACTTCTGTAAGGAATAGACAAGTAAAGGTGTACAGATGATTCAATTACCGTAAGGAATAGACAGGTAAAGGTGTACAGATGAATCACTTCTGTAAGGAATAGACAAGTAAAGGTGTACAGATGATTCAATTACCGTAAGGAATAGACAGGTAAAGGTGTACAGATGAATCACTTCTGTAAGGAATAGACAAGTAAAGGTGTACAGATGATTCAATTACCGTAAGGAATAGACAGGTAAAGGTGTACAGATGAATCACTTCTGTAAGGAATAGACAGGTAAAGGTGTACAGATGATTCACTTACTGTAAGGAATAGACAGGTAAAGGTGTACAGATGAATCACTTACTGTAAGGAATAGACAGGTAAAGGTGTACAGATGAATCACTTCTGTAAGGAATAGACAGGTAAAGGTGTACAGATGAATCACTTACCGTAAGGAATAGACAGGTAAAGGTGTACAGATGAATCACTTACTGTAAGGAATAGACAGGTAAAGGTGTACAGATGAATCACTGTAAGGAATAGACAGGTAAAGGTGTACAGATGAATCAATTACCGTAAGGAATAGACAGGTAAAGGTGTACAGATGAATCACTTACTGTAAGGAATAGACAGGTAAAGGTGTACAGATGAATCACTTACTGTAAGGAATAGACAGGTAAAGGTGTACAGATGAATCACTTCTATGAGGAATAGACAGGTAAAGGTGTACAGATGAATCACTTACTGTAAGGAATAGACAGGTAAAGGTGTACAGATGAATCACTTACTGTATGGGATAGACAGGTAAAGGTGTACAGATGATTCAATTACCGTAAGGAATAGACAGGTAAAGGTGTACAGATGAATCACTTACTGTAAGGAATAGACAGGTAAAGGTGTACAGATGAATCACTTCTGTAAGGAATAGACAGGTAAAGGTGTACAGATGAATCACTTCTATAAGGAATAGACAGGTAAAGGTGTACAGATGAATCACTTACTGTAAGCAATAGACAGGTAAAGGTGTATGGATGAATCACTTACTGTAAGGAATAGACAGATAAAGATGTACAGATGAATCACTTACTGTAAGGAATAGACAGGTAAAGGTGTACAGATGACTCACTTACCGTAAGGAATAGACAGATAAAGGTGTATAGATGAATCAAGTGTCATGTGAATTGGACAGGTGTAGATGTGTGGATGAATCGGGAACTATCTGAAACTGTGTTGTGTAGTAACATTACGACATACCGTAACTCTATACTTAACTATAAGCTTACAAATGTCATAGTGCAGCGAACGTGTTGTGGATAGGTTCCCTGGTACCTTTCTTCTATGGTGACCTTGACCTTTATGTTGACATCCACTGGTTGTCTTGACTTGTATGCTGGTGGACATCCACTGGTTGTCTTGACCTGTATGCTGTGGACATCCACTGGTTGTCTTGGTCTGTATGCTGTGGACATCCACTGGTTGTCTTGAACTGTATGCTGGTGGACATCCACTAGTTGTCTTGGTCTGTATGCTGTGGACATCCACTGGTTGTCTTGGTCTGTATGCTGGTGGACATCCACTGGTTGTCTTGAACTGTATGCTGTGGACATCCACTGGTTGTCTTGGTGCTGGTGACATCCACTGGTTGTCTTGAACTGGTGGACATCCACTGGACATCCACTGGTTGTCTTGGTCTGTATGCTGGTGGACATCCACTGGTTGTCTTGGTCTGTATGCTGTGGACATCCACTGGTTGTCTTGGTCTGTATGCTGGTGGACATCCACTGGTTGTCTTGACCTGTATGCTGGTGGACATCCACTGGTTGTCTAGACCTGTATGCTGGTGGACATCCACTGGTTGTCTTGGTCTGTATGCTGGTGGACATCCACTGGTTGTCTTGGTCTGTATGCTGTGGACATCCACTGGTTGTCTTGGTCTGTATGCTGGTGGACATCCACTGGTTGTCTTGACCTGTATGCTGGTGGACCTCCACTGGTTGTCTAGACCTGTATGCCGGTTTACATCCACAGGTTGTCTTGGTCTGTATGCTGGTGGACATCCACTGGTTGTCTTGTTGGTCTGGTTGTCTTGGTCTGTATGCTGTGGACATCCACTGGTTGTCTTGGTCTGTATGCTGTGGACATCCACTGGTTGCTGAACTGTATGGACATCCACTGGCTGTGGACATCCACTGGTTGTCTTGGTCTGTATGCTGGTGGACATCCACTGGTTGTCTTGACCTGTATGCTGGTGGACCTCCACTGGTTGTCTAGACCTGTATGCCGGTTTACATCCACAGGTTGTCTTGGTCTGTATGCTGGTGGACATCCACTGGTTGTCTTCACCTGTATGCTGGTGGACATCCACAGGTGGTCTTGGTCTGTATGCTGGTGGACATCCACTGGTTGTCTTCACCTGTATGCTGGTGTATATCTAGTTATGACATAACTACAATGGCTATTCATACTGTTTTAGGTATGTTTTGTGCTATGACTGATACTATTGTACTTGCTTATTACCATATATTGATTATTAATCTCTCAGACAATATTTGGAGAAATAAACTCTAAGACACCTGATTTTGTATGGGTTTTGTTTCCATGCCCTTGTTCTTCAACAGTCCGTTTCATAGAAGACAAGTTGAAAATATGACATACCAGTGCTTAACCAGTCTCGGTGGTCTGACTAAACCGTCCGCTCGTCACGCTGAAGACCCGGGTTCGATTCCCCACATGGGTACAATGTGTGAAGCTCATTTCTGGTGTCCCCCGCCGTGATATTGCTGGAATATTGCTAAAAGCGGCGTAAAACCAAACTCACTCACTCACTCACTCACTCTGACTAAACAGATTCCATTGTAAAAGACAAATCATCAGTGAAAACTCCATGAAGCGATCACTGTAACAGCCACACTTGCGTGGATACAATCAGTTTACTGCAATATCTCACTGACATTTTGTTATTTGTGTTTGTTTTGTTTCCTGTCACACTCAGCAATATCCCAGCTGTAGGAGGGCGGGCATGTAACAGATTCACACACAGGTCATGTGGAAGGGTTCCGACTATATCACTTTAATTAACAAATGATAAGACACGGTGTCAGTGTATAACACACCAGCAGTTAGTGTATTAATGTTAGTAGACAGTGTAACAGTTGGTGGAACTGCATGAAACACAAGCTAAAAAGGATCTATTGACGTTATTAAGACGGTACAGATATTGGTGGGATGTGCACACGTAACAGAACATTTCAATGCATGCATAGAGGATACTAAAGAACCTTCCGTGTAATACCATTCACGAGTTTAATAAAAATGGTATTTCACGGAAGCGAGTTTAGTATTCTGTTTATTACTCTCCAACATAAACTGATAGAAACTGCCTACAGGGTGATGTCCAGCAAGGTCTAATACCATTGTGACGGAAGTATTACTATTGTGACGTCTTAACTGTAAGCCATTATGACGTCATACGTCTAGCGGTATTTCACTAGTGTAATATATTGCCTACATGGGCGAGTAATAAAGACAAGAACACGTTGATGCTCGATGCGATAATGGTTTACAATTATGACGTCATACGTCTATCGGTATTACACGGGCGAGTAATACTAAACGACCTTCCGCGTAATACCATTTTTATTAAACGAGTTAATGGTTTGATACTAAATCTTTTCACGAGTTTAATAAAAATGGTATTTCATGGAAGCGAGTTTAGTATTCTGTTTATTACTCTCCAACATAAATTGCGAAACTGCCTACACAGTGTGATGACTCTCAGTAGGGCTGTGCAATATTAACGATATATACCGGTACAGTATCTCGCGATACGATTATCGCGATATGGTTCAGATTCTGCAATATATTGCGTCATCCAGAATTAGCTCCCTTTGAATTATCTGCCCTTGATTGCCATAGCAACAGAATGTGCTCTAAAAGTACCAAATATACATTTATTTCTCTTGGTTTCATATAACATTTTACAAGTGGAAGTGTCTTTATAAGTGGCTCCAAAAGTGCCAAATATTCTACCAAATGCTTTAAGTTTTGTGGATTTGAAAGGTTTCATATGTGACGATTTGGAGGAATTAAGTGGCCTCAAATGGACCAATCTTTTAGGAAAGGCAAGATTTATGGATGTCAATTTCTTGTTGTGAATAACACGACGTTTCGGAGTGTATGCTTGCTCCTTCATAGAGTCATGAAGGAGCAAGCATACACTCCAAAACTTCCTGCTATTCACAATAAAGGAGGTGACATCCATAAATCTTGCTTTTCTTATGCATTCCACTTCTAAATGCCCTTAAATGATTTGACAAATCTTTTATTTGGACTTATAAGTAGAATTTCTGGCTCTGAGTGACCATTTTGTTTGTTTTGTAATAGGACATATGTTATCAATTTATCATAAAGGCCAAAGTCTTATAAATTTTGTAGGACTGTATAATGACATTCTGGTCAAGAAGTTGTTCACCTAAATCATGTTGGGTTTTTTTCATTTTGCAATAGCTGATGTTAACACATGTTTATATTGGAGCTGAATGTGAATGAGTGAGTGAGTGAGTTTAGTTTTACGCCGCACCGTAAATAATCGAGTCTGGACCAGACAATCCAGTGATCAACAGCATGAGCATCGATCTGCGCAGTTGGGAACCGATGACATGTGTCAACCAAGTCAGCGAGCCTGACCACCGGATTCCGTTAGTCGCCTCTTACGACAAGCATAGTCGCCTGTTGTGGCAGAATGTGATGAATCACTGACATAGAGTAACAATAATTACATACTGCTTTGAAGTGCATTCTGTTAAAGAAAACAACGCTGATAATGAAAATCTTGTTATACTATTAAATTTATCATTATGTTCGCAAAACTTTGCTGCAACACAGTACTTCAATTAAACATTCTACATTAAGGCTCTGTATCATGTCATTTATCTGTAAACCATTGGCATACAGTCATACACAATGGGGACGGGGAGCCTGAAAGTATGGTGTGACAGCAACTAAGAAGACGATGTCACACACAGAGAGCTATTATGAATTAATGATGTACACACTTGGGCAGAAACCTTCCAGTCAATATATCACAATATGTATTGCAATATCTCTTATATTATTGCAATATATCGCAATATGAGAATCAGGACAATATCCCCTAACTCTCAGCTTTCCGCAAGTCAAGCAAGGTCTAATAGCATTGTGACAGAGGTATTAGCTTTGTGACGTCATAACTGTAAGCCATGTAAGTGTTTTCGGGGGGTTTTGCCGCTCCCACCCCTACCACTTTCCCGGCTCCGCCAATGCAATACATTACATTCTATGTGGTCTTCAGTCATTTTCAAAGGAACCAGTCCCCACCCGCCTTGGATCCGCCAATGGTGGGTGCACACAGACGAGAACATGCTGATTGGCCCAAAAGCGAAAACACTGGGTGTACACACAGACGAGACCATTTCTAGTGCAGTCAGATAAGAATATCTAGATGCACACACAGATAATACATAATCGAGGTTATTGAATGAGTTGGTTTTTTCGCTGCTTTAATCAATATTCCAGCAATATCGATCAACTCAAAGGACTACCTCATTGGAAACAATTCCGTAATGTATAATTTAACACTCTTATCCACCTTCTGTTAAACCTGTTACAATTTTATGTGTGCACTTTCTCGTAGTTCCATTCTTTCTGGTCCATAAAGGAAATGTTTATTCAAGCTTGTTTAACTACAAACCAAGATATTAATCAAATCTCGATTATTTACGGACACAGTTTATATTAGACATAAAAACGATAATGAAAATACATAGAAATGGATCACTGAAAATAGGTGTTAACACCGGGTGTCACAAGTGTAGTCACGCATTTGTTTCATTCCCTAAATTCTGATAAAAGCGTCAACACCCTTTTCTTCATCCACGGGAAACCTCTGCCAACAGCAGAGCTACATCCATGCGGTGAAACTGATTGTTTCAGGGTATGTACTCAAACAGAATCTGTTACTGGCGCCAATGAAATGATAGTGCATGCAAAAACAACTGTTTCAAGGTATGACAACGATCACCAGAGCACCTGGCAAATGAACCACAACACAAGAGGGTGTTCACAGGCAAGTTCACACAGTCAGTGTGTCCACCTTGTGCATTGGTGCAGGCCTGGACCTCCTTTCATAAAGCACTAAGGTGATCGTAAGTCACTAAGGTAACCGTAGTGCAATGTTAAAGGATGGGAGTTAAGGTCAACCTTAGTAAAGGTTGCTTCGTGAAAGGAACCCCTGGCACCTACCCCTCATTGTGGCCAACGTAAATGAGAGTCCTGGCGATGACCATTTCACATCCGAGGAAGGATTTGGATCCGCAACGTTGTTGGAGGATGACGTCACAAACATCGCTCTATTTCATCCCAAACGTGTTCAATGGGTGACAACAAATCCGGGAATTTTGTGGGCCAGGTAAGATATTGCTGTACAACCTGAGCAACGTGTGGTCAGGAGTTATCGTGATGAAACGTCATTCCAGAGCAGTTCTTTTTATTCAAGCGGCCATTTGCAAAATCTCGTTTCGTTAAATCGCAGCATTCAAGTTCCCCTCAGTCACAATCACCTAGGTCCCACCCCAGGTCATCACGCCCCCAATCTCAAAACCGTTCCCTTTCTGCAGCACATGTGCATGGCCTGATGTAATGTTCACCCGTAGACACATGTCCTGTCGTCTGCTCGGTGAAGAAGGAAACGTGAAGAGTGCCCTTCACCTCTCATATGCTCCAGTCACAAGTGTTGTCTCCTCTACTGGAGACGTCGAGTGGTCTGAGAATGTCGCACGGATGATAAGCTCGTAGACGTCGTCGATCTGCTCGTAGATCCATCGATCATGACGTGGGGTCGTTACTGGTGGGCGGCCATTACAGGGGCGGTCTTTCGATTGTTCTGCTGAAAATTTCAAACTGGGTATGGTAGTTGAATCGACGAGTAACGTTTACGTTTGGTTTCAATGCTGTGGTTTTGAACACTGACTCGAGGCGAAAGTACAGAGTCCTTCGAGACAGAAATTATGACTTCGAAGCGGAAAGTTCACAATGAATCCTTCATGCTGCCATCATGTCATCAGTGTGTTAATATGATCACATGTTTCATATTAACACACATTATTTACCATTTTAAAACCAGTTGGAAGTGACAAATATTGAAATTTAACAAGGCATTGTTCGGGAGTTTGACTGAATCGTATTGCAAAATGAATAAGGAATTTCAATATGTTTGCTTATGCCAAAGTAGAGCATGGGAACCATGCAGGTGTATGTTGTATATAACAAGTCGGCAGTTGTATGCAACCACTGACATGAAGGTCCATAAACCTTGAATCGTCATTTAAAAAAATAGAAATCAGAATGAAAAGGTATCTATTTCATGTCATCACATTAATATAAATACAAAACTTTGGTGCAGCGATTAATATTGAACGGATTAGATGATTTGGACACGCTTTTCGACATGCATTTGGTCAAACGACTGAAATTGCAAATACATGTATACTACTGGAATAAAGTAACTCTGCATTATTTGATATCATGCCATTGTTTACTGCAAAAAGAAAATTACATGATTTGTGGCGTTTTCCTTAATGACTGTTTACCTGTTGACAGGACAACATCGAAATCTGTATGATTTGACACTATGCATCTTGACAGGCCCTTAAAGAGATATGGTATCCAAAGTCAGTTCACAAATTCAGTATCGTGTGCGTCCACCACTGGCGTTGGTGCAGGCTTGAGAACGACGACGCATAGACGACACTGAGCGATTGAAGAAAGCTTGGGGAATGTTGTTCCATGTCTGAACAAACGCTTGTCCCAATTTAGCTGACATCAGTGGCTGATTCTGGGCTTGACGTAAACGTCGATCCATTTCATCCCATGAGATGTGATGCTTCCACATACCATAACCCTTCTGTCACCAAACTGTCGACGTTGGACAACGCTCGCGTCAGCATACCGTTCACCTCGCCGTCTGTAAACCCTTGCCTGCCATCTGAGCTGTCCAGATGAAATCTCGACTCGTCAGGAACAACATCATTCCAATCTTGTCTCTTGTAACATGATGTTGTTTGCACAGGAAAGACGTGCCTGTTGGTGACGTTGGAGCAAAATTGGACTTATTGCTGGCCGTAGGGGCCAGATGTTGTGCTCCCTCAATCGGCTCCGTACAGTCCTGCAACTGATTGGGGGTAAGCCAGGAAAGGCTCGAGCACTCAAACTAACAGTCTGGTATCGATTCCTTAGATGGGTCAGCCGAATGTGGTTGTCTTGCCGACGTGACGTTGGTCCAAGGCAAATCTCTCGTTCGTGTTCCCATTATGTTGAAAATGTCTCCATAGAGATGAGATCGTGTTTCGATGGACACCAAAATGTCAGGCCACTTCATTTGGGGCCATTCCAGCCTCCAGCATAACCTCGGAGCGGAAACGTTGATTTTCTGTAAGCCGTGGCATGACGTACGCGCAGTTTAGGTTGAAATTTTCCACAACTATCAGAGGCAAGATAATAATCAACCGTTTTTTCTATTTTCAATATCAGGTGTGTGAACTTCAGGTGTCAATAAGCATGCAAAAAGTGAGTAAGTTCATTGTGCACAAAGTGCACGTCAAACGCACGATACGTCCAATACCATGCAAAGTGCTTTGCTACACTGGAGTGGGTCCTTCAGTACGGAACACAGACCCTCTGGAGTTGACACTTCAGTACGGAACACAGACCCTATGGAGTTGACACTTCAGTACGGAACACAGACCCTCTGGAGTTGACACTTCAGTACGGAACACAGACCCTCTGGAGTTGACACTTCCTCGTCTCACAGTCGGTTCTGCCGGAACTCTGTTCCTTAACAGTCAAAATGTAGAACTGCATCATGGGAATATCAACCATCTTTCGATTCTGATTCTTGTACCATAGAATCTGTCAAACTCACAAAATAAAAGAAGATATTATCCATCAATTTGTCAGTATTGTACTTCCTAACTTCTGAAATGATTCTTAAAGAAGTTATCCACTGTGGTATAATCACGATAATGACAATGTGAAGTGGACAAAAAGACCACCCAGACACCTCATTATCCCAGCACAAGATTAAACCATTATGACGTCATCCGTCTAGCGGTATTACTTAAGAAATTATTTCTTTTCTAAGATGCCAAATTTAATACTTTCTAAGGATAATTACGATTAATTTAAGGCAGAAAACAAACGACGGTGTCGGTGACCTAAATTAAGAATTCTCGCACAGGGCTGACTGGCGCGCTGTTCTATTGATGTGTCTGCCCCCCTACGTTAAGACGAACGTTACCAGAAAAAACAAATGATAACAGTTTGATGACGGTTTACGTTCGGATTAAATACCTTCTCTAATTATTTTAATGACATCTGTGATTAACGTAAACCATATGGGGCAATATGAACGTCGCATTTCTACAACCAACGTAAGTTTAGATCAGTACATCCAGTTGAAGCTGAGTAGTCAAGCGACATTCCACGATTGCACTATGGGAATGTAAACATTGCGAGCGTTACCATGTCGCTGAAAACTTGTGAGTCGAATTTAGACATTTTAACCGTCGTAAAACATAAACGTAATGTTTCTACCAGTGATGTTAGCTGCGTGAAGCAATTGCAAACCAAGAAAAGGGATGCAACGGAGTAGTTTACTGTAGGAGGCCGTACGAGGCGATGACAACTGACATGCATCGTGATGTCGCTTACATTGTGACGTAATGCAAAATGGTTCGATTACGAGGGGGCAGACTAGAATGGCACAGTGACGCCTATACATTGTGACGTAATGCAAAAAAGTGCACATTCTCGTCTGATAAAGTACTGTCGGCGCCTTTGATCTTTCACAGAAGCATCTTAGAAACTGTAGTATCTTCCACGGGCGAGCAATAATTAGGGTTATTTATATAACGTTTTCAGTTCAGAATGTTGCTATCGATACATGATCTGCTCTCAGTCAAGTGACACGTCAAGAGACAACATATCCTACCCGGACCAGTCTATGGAAATGGGCAATACTGAATCTGCTAATGAAGGACTACTTGCAGCAAATGGCTATTTTTTTCAAAACGGGAATGCAAAAAGTATCATCAATACCATCAAGATACATGGATGTGTGAAATATGTCGATCTATTGTGGAAGATTGACCCAACCCTTAAACCAATTACTTCCCGATTTCTGATAGTACAAATATAGCTTCACGACGAAGAGGATTAATCAATGCGTTATTTGTGAAACATTTTACGTGATATTTGCCAACAAGTGTTTCGATATCAAACATTTTGCTGTGGTTTTCTTTTTTTCACACCAATTGGACCTCATCACTGAGTAATGAACATACTAAATGAATACATTTACAACAAACGAAGTGTAACAAGAATATTTACAAGTAACGGAGGCATATCGAAATAATGAAAACAGATTAATAAACATGGCGCCGATATAATACAAATGATAATGCAAATATGTTCAATGTTAGGCGACATAAAAAATATTCTTGTTTCTCTTCACATTTTTTTCAAAACATTAAGCGTCGGGTGGACGGGTTTTTTTTATTTTTACATTGTATTTTATGTTATGTCCAAAACCCCTTGACGTCTTACAACCTTTCTCCGATAGAAAATCAACACTTAGAAGTGTGAGAAACTCATGCACATTTTTAGAGTCAAAGTTGTATTTTCTCTAGTGAAACTAAGCCTATCAATGCTTGTCTTGTATGACTGTACCATGTGTGCTGTTGTACAGACGTCACATATCATAGATTATGTTCAAGCAAGTATATTTTAGCGAGGTTAAGTAAAATATACATTTGATTATCATAGGCGGATCCAGAAATTTCCAAAGGGGGTTTGATTCCATTGAACCCACCTTGGCTCTGTCAATGCAAAACATTAACTTCAATGTGGTCTTTAGTCATTTTCGAAAGGGCAGGGTTCGAACCCCACTCCCCACCCCCTCTGGATTCGCCAATGATTGTGCAACAGCTGATTTTGATATTGACATGCCAAGGGCAGGTAATTCTCGCTGACCTGATCTGCTGTGAAACGAACTTGACCCAGCACGAGGAAAATGCCATGTCAACACTGATTACAGATCGATTCAATGTCGACACGGATTAGGAAGTCGGTAATCCTTGTGTCAAATGCATGATTATTGAGTAAGTATGTCCTATGTGTAGTATCTCTCTGATCTTCGAGATAGTGCTAGTCAGTATTGGCTGTCAAAATACCCAGCAGCAGGATAGTGGGAGACAGGCCCGGGTCACTAATATTCCACACTAACAAACTCGGAAATGACACGGAAGAACTAATCTTCTGCCTCGTCTGCGAGTTTGTTGTGTCCACGATGGTACTGTGAGTGATAATGCCATAACGCTGGTTCTGTGCATGTAGCTGCCCTATTTTGTCAACGGTGATGTTAGGGTTACAGGTATACAACACAGAGTCATGGTCGAGTGAACACTAATAATAGCCTACAACCAAATATTGTTATTTGTGTATGAATGGATGGATGCAGCTCATGAATATTTAACATCACTGTCGATATTGACACCTGTGATATGCTGAAGGAATTTTCTGGCTCTTTAGACTTACAGCTGATAAGGACCTCTCCGGGTCAGATGGTCTTAATTACTGTTATTCTGTTGTGGTGGCCATATATAAGCGATGCCTCTCCCAGCTGTTTACAGGGTTTGTTTCCACGCTAGCCAAGGTTAGTTTATTTTGAACCTTGGGAGAGGAGCTATTTTTCTAAAGTGTGTGTTTATATTAGAACATTTACAGCAATGGAATCCCACTAAGACATTACAGGTAAGTCTTATCTGTAAATAGTAAATAAGTACTTGTTAAATATAACACACATGAGTGTGTGGTGATATACTTGTATTTCACTTAGAGATTTGCTGTCTGTATAAAGTTGTTTGGCAGCACTAAGTAAAATAGAAACTTAATTGCTTTGATTATTGAGTGTTATTGTTATCAAATTCAGTGTGTGATATTAGCCAGTCCCCTAGTTTAGTACTCTGGTTTTAGGTCTGTGCAAGATGTCTGAATTATGGTCCCACTTAGATGAAGATGAATTATTACAATCTGACTTTGCCACAGCCACAAGTTGGTCACTTGCCACTAATATGTCAGTCAATTCTGATTATATTCAACATGAACCAAACCCATGTGGTGTGGATGGATACCCCAGCACAACCTGATAAACTTTTGGATATGCCAATACTGTATGGCCATGGAAATGATGAAGAGGATGAGTCAGTGGATATACCCAGCACCAGATCATACCGCACTGAGGATAATCAAACCCAATTTGTATCAATACAGCGTGATGTGCCTCTTGGATTTACAAAGAAAGATGGATACTAATGCCCAGATATTTACTACAACAGTGTGCAATACCAGTACAGAGTGATAAGCTGCAGACATACTTATGTACAGAGTGATGCTACAACAGACACAATAGTACAGAGGGATGCACATATAGACATACAAGTGCAGTGTGATGCTCTATAGACATACCAGAACAGAGTGATGCTCTATAGACATTCAAGTGCAGTGTGATAAGCCTATAAACATACCAGAACAGGTGATGCGTCTATAGACATACAAGTGCAGTCTGATTCAGCTTTTGACATACCAGAACAGAGTGATGCACCAAAAGACATACAGGTACAGGGTGATGCACCTCTAGATATACCAGAACAGAGTGATGCACCTATAGACATACAAGTACAGTCTGATGTGCCTTTTGACATACCAGAACAGAGTGATGCGCCTATAGACATACAGGTACAGGGTGATGCACCTCTAGATATACCAGAACAGAGTGATGCCTATAGACATACAAGTACAGTCTGATGTGCCTTTTGACATACCAGAACAGAGTGATGTAGCCTATAGACATACAAGTGCAGTGTGATGCTTCTATAGACATACCAGAACAGAGTGATGAAAGCCTATAGACATACAAGTACAGTCTGATGTGCCTTTTGACATACCAGAACAGAGTGATGGCCTATAGACATACAGGTACAGTCTGATGTGCCTTTTGACATACCCAGAACAGAGTGATGGCCTATAGACATACAGGTACAGTCTGATCGCCCTATAGACATACAGGTACAGGGTGATGCACCTCTAGATATACCAGAACAGAGTGATGCACCTCTAGATGTACCAGAACAGAGTGATGTACCTATAGACATACAGGTACAGTCTGATGCCAACAGACATACAGGTACAGGGTGATGCACCTCTAGATATACCAGAACAGGGTGATGCACCTCTAGATATACCAGAACAGGGTGATGCACCTCTAGATATACCAGAACAGAGTGATGCACCTCTAGATGTACCAGAACAGAGTGATGCGCCTATAGACATACAGGTACAGTCTGATGCGCCAACAGACATACAGGTACAGGGTGATGCACCTCTAGATATACCAGAACAGGGTGATGCACCTCTAGATATGCCAGAACAGGTGATGCACCTCTAGATGTACTAGGCAGAGTGATGGCCTATAGACATACAGGTACAGTCTGATGCGCCTAACAGACATACAGGTACAGGGTGATGCACCTCTAGATATACCAGAACAGAGTGATGCACCACTAGATATACCAGAACAGAGTGATGCACCTCTAG